TATATATATATATATATATATATATATATACACATATATTCACTTCATTTAACTGTAGAAACAATTATTATTTATCTTTCATTTAATAGATAAAACAGAAATTTTGTTTATAATTAGTAAATAAAACTGGCTTGTTAATTAATTAGCCACATCTTTCAAGTCTTTGTGGTTCATAGGAAAATTAATTTAAACAAAGGGTAGTGCTGAAGGCATTGAACCACTGCACTAAATCTATATTTGAAATTTCATCCAATGAACCTCTATCTATGTAAACAAGCAACCACTTACTTCCTCTTATCAAACCACTCAATGCCACAACCCTTTGTGACCAAGGCTGCCATAATAACATTAATGTCATAGTTCCCAGTGCCAAGGAGAGATTTGTGTGGATTAAACCAATTGTCTGGGGATAATGCATAGCATATGTTGTCAAGTTCACTTTTTGCAAATGCTCCTCCATCTTGAAATAGGTTGTTCAAGGAATGAAGAGCACATAGCTCTTTGATCTGCAAATAAAGAATTGAAAACAAAGAATTATTTACCAAATCACATTTAAGCTACTGTAAAAACTCTTTACAATCCTATCCTTTGGCCTCTAATTAGTTTCTTGCAGTAGCATTTCCCATAGGTAGAAGGATAACTCTATGAATACTGGAATACTGTATCATATGCCTTCTCAAGACTCAGTAAACACCAGATTTTCCCCAAAGTACCTTGCCCAAAAGATGGTAGCATTACCTGTTGCTATAAACCTTAAAGTCTGATAGCACTCAATTAGGTGTATTTGTACTCCTAAGTTTTATCCAAACTGGCTCACCTGAGCTTAACCTCTCCAAAATTGGCAGACTGTTTTTTCCATTTTCCTTTTTTTTGTCATAAAAATAAATACATTGCCCAACTATTTATAACCATTTGACTTCCTGAATCAGTCATTCAGGATGGTGCTGTTCTTTTGTGAGTGAGTGAGTGAGTGAGTGTGAGTGTGAGTGCACAAGTGTGTGTGTGTGTGTGTGTGTGTGTGTG